ATTTTCGTGATATGCTCACATATTCCTGGCGTACATATGCAAGTGGTTTTTATGAAAAGTGTCCCATTATATTTTTCGAACTCGGGTGTTTTGAACTTGGGAGGAAACACTACATCTGACACTAGACATATCTCAAAAGCATTTTTGAGATATGGACAACTAGCTCCCTATATAGCCTTCAACCCTCCTCAATTAAGCTCCTTTTCTCATCATCTTTTCCAAAGTTGTTGTTGTTGTGAGGAACCCCTGAAGTACGACCTGGTTGTAAATCTCGTTGGTTGGGTTACTAGCATTTGGATGAGTTTTGGCAACCCTATGATCATCATTAGCTCCGGTCGGGCTCGTAGATGGAGTTTGCTGCCACATGTTAGGAGCATTGTCATGGGCAGCTCGACCACCCTAGCTTTATCCATTAGGAGGGGCATACCCAGATTGTGGTCAATGAGTGGGTCACTTTGATGTTTTTTCCCTTTTGAACATTTCTGCCATCTGCTCCTTTAAGTCAGCTAGTTCAGTCATACTCTCCTAGTTGGTTTATGATGAGTTCGCCATTTGTCTAGCACGAAGTCGAGTGTAATAGGGGTGTTATGAAGTAATGCTGAAAATATTTTAGATGTAGATTTAAATTATGGTTTTAAAAAAAATTGACTTAATAAAGAGTTTCCATTTTTATATCAATGTGACAAATCCCACATTTAAGGGTCGTGGCCCACCAATTCATTTGTGGTTGATGACAATTTCGAGAAAAAAGTTGTTTTATCCCGTGATTGCATCTTGGGATGGATAAAACAATTATAAGTCTTTTTTTTCCTTTTTTGTTTTATTTTATTTTATTTTATTTTTCCTTTCTCCTTTTTTGGATCAAGACAAAGGGGAGATAAAGTAGATAGGATAAATGGGAATCACATGAATTGATTTCCTCCTTTTTATTCGAACTATTAAACTAAATAGTAGTCCTAGAATTCTTTTGTACTCTTCCTCCACTTCTTGAGCCTTCGAGCCACTTGGGTGCAACTAGTGGAGAATATCTTCATGGCAGGATGCATCCCAATCTCTGGATATATACTGGTTTCTTGATTTGCAACCTCAAAATTCATCAACCAATCATCCGCAAAGTCCCTAATTCCATCTATGATCCCTAAACATCTTCTCTCAAATAGCTCTTTGTTCTCCTTACATTCTCTCAGCACTTGCCTCCAATTGTTTGACCACATCTCTCTTTCTCCTACTATTTGACCATATGCATGTTTAAGATCTCTCATTTGGTCCAAGAGTTGGTTTCTTTCTTTGTGCATGTCCTCTAAGGTAAGGTGATGTATTTGTGTTTGATCATCCATCATGATATGATATTGGTCATCTCTCATTAGGCCCTGCTGGGTGGCGTTCTGGCACTCATCTACTATGGCCCAAGCTTTGGCAGCACTAGCTATGTCCTGCTCTGACTCAACTCTGGTTTCTTCTAGAATCTTGTCCATCTATTTCTTTTCATTCTTTAGGTTGAAGATAATGCGATCACGAGATTTTAGTAGTGCCTTTAGATCTGGTATCTGCCTTCCCCTTTGGTTATTTTTATTTTTCTAATCAAGAAGCATAGGTCTGCATAATCAGATTTGAGGCTAGCCACCTCTTCCTTCAAACTTGAATTTAATTCATTGAGTTTTTCTCTACAGAAACCCTCTTTCTCTATTATGTTTCTTGATTCTTCTAGTTGGACCTCAAGAATTTTTCTCCTTTGTTGAACGTTGATTTCAGCTTGGGATGGACCTTCTTTCTCCTTAGGTAAGATAACTTCGATGCTAGTTTTATTTGTCATCCTCTCCTTTGTCCACAAGCTATATTCTTCTGTATAGAAAATCTGATGCTATCGTAACTCATCTCTTCCATAGAAGCGAATATCATGTAGAGCCATCCTTGTTGCATTGAGAAGTTCCTTCAAAATATTTTTGTCTTTATATAGAAAGGCAAACCTCTGGAGTTGTCGATGAGTCACATGATTCATTCCCCATTTCAGTTGGCCAAGAATCAATGTAGGAGAAAATTCAATGCATCTCTTGGGCCCATTAGAATGAGATTTTGGTACTCTCCACGGGCATACATGACTTCCTCATGTCGATCATATAAGGAACATTTGACACCAAATTTTCTTGGGTTGATCTCGTTGAACATGTTTGACCATTCAGAAAATGTGATAGGTTTGACATTTGTGTTGTTGAACCTCTTAAGTGGATAACGAGACCCCAAAGAAATTGATGGTGTCTGAATCGAGTTACCATTCATACATGCCACAATTAAACACAATATCTTATTTTTACTCTTTCATTTGCCTTCTGATGTCCCCTATAGAACTTTAGAACGATTTTAGCCAATACTGTGGGTGTCAGGTTGATTGAGAATTTTTACCGTATAGAAAACATCAAGAGCCTTCCGATCGATCATATCACCAACAAAAGGAAACAAGACCAAGCCATAGATAGCAAGTGCAAATGAGGACCCAAAGGCCTTCCAATTTTTTTGTTCCTCCAATTTGATGATATATTTTCTGAGATAATTCCACTTCAATCCTTCGAACTTCCCTTGCCTAATGATGTTTTGAACCCCTGGGCGGGCCCATATGATTTCCTCAATATATTCTTCAGTTAGCTTATGTTCACTTGTATATAGATATACCTTTGACCTCTCTAACATATGAATGTCTAAAGATTTGGAAATTCGGAAACTCAAATTTGGAAATATTCCTCAACCGCTCTTAGTTTTTTAGTATTCCTCAACCGTTGGGGATGCACAAGATTTGGAAATTCAGAAACTCTCAGCTCTTGGATCCATTATTGGATCATGACTTCCATGGCTCTTAGTTTTTTAGGCTTGATGTGGACGTTGTGTAGATCAATGAGTCGCTCGTAAGTTTTGGTATACCGCTCTTGCTTTTCCATAAGAATCATTTGAACACATTCTAGTAGAAAATTTAAATTATATACCAGTACCTCCGCCTTTGTTCCTTTCTTAGGGGCCTGATCAATATTGCTATGTGTTAGATCCATATTATTCGAGTCGTGCTATACAATGGATCCTCTTTATGATATGAAGTCTGAAAAACATAATTTGTAAAATAATTCATGAGTATATGATAATGCATGTATGCAGGTATGCTTGCGATATCCTAACTTTGGTATAGTATGGTTTTGTCGATTGTCTAAGACCATGACCCTAGGTTAGGTATAAGGCCTTTATATGAGACATCTTATAGGGTTTCCTTACGAGGTGCCCAGATTGCATACAATCACAAAGAAAGGAAACTCAAATATCTAGGGGGTTAGAAGTGGGACTCGAAGTCCACACCGATAAAGAGTACACACTTATATGCCAACATGTGAATGCATTGCTAAAAGAATAACTATCAAATAATAACCACATCCATGCATTTAGTATTAATGGGCCTGACTCTAAAAAAAAATTTCCTCAGTAGAGTCGCCAGCTGTCGCACCCCGATTTTCAGTTGCACGACTTTGTTAGAGTCCCCTCTAAATTTTTTTCAGTAAAAAATAGAGAAAAATATTTGGACCCAATCATATTGGGGCTTGGATTTTGATATCCAGATTCGAGAGCCGGTTACAGGCTAGGGAAGGTATTAGCATCCTAGCAGCCCGTTTTCAAATGGTACCCTTACTAAATTGCATGAATTATTAAATTCGAGTTACTCTTTTTCACATGAAGAAAATTATTTTTTGTTATATCTGGCAATGTATAATCCTGGCCCCTTTTGGGGGAATCAGGACTACGTAGTTCTTTAGGTAAAAAAAGTTTGTTGGTTAGATTGGTTTTATTATATTTTCATGAAGGGTGTTAAATTTTAACAAAAATCTCGTTAATACGAGTGAAGTACAACCCATATGTCTGATACCGTGCCTCATATTAGAGATTTTAGTTGGGATTTATCACCTTTATATATTGAGTTAAATGTTATTATTGGTTAAAAATATGGTATTAAGTCTCCTATCTAATACACTTATTGAAATGAGTGAAGTACAACCCATTTGTCCGATATCGCGCCTCATATTAGCGATTAGCTCGGATTTAGTCACTTTTTTTTTTTAAATATTTGACTCATCAAAAAAATGTTGTAGTAATTATCCTTAAATTTTAAGAAAGTGAAGTGTCATACCTTAAAATTTAATATAATTGATACTTTTATTATCATTAAATTCCTTTACATTTTTGTTTTAAAAAATGGAAATTTTACACCCTTATGATAAATTTTTTTTATTTTAAATAAAACAGTAAATCATGATTTTCCTACTCCTAGAGGGAAGGGAAATTCCCTTTTTGGCCGGTTGTGGGCGAGGAGGGATTCGAACCCCCGACACCGTGGTTCGTAATCATGTGCTCTAATCCTCTGAGCTACAGGCCCCACCCCGTCTCCACTGGATTTGTTCCTAGGAGTACCCTAAAAAAGGGAACCTTTTCTCTCCCCATCCAATTTCGGCTTAAGAAGATGTGAAAGCGCCTCTCTCTATAAGAACGGTGCGTTCTGAGGTGTGTAGTGGGAGAGAAGGGATTTCATAATTGGGGTTTTGAATAAGACGACCTTTTCATTTTTCATATTGAAAAAGTAATAAGAATGAGAGGTGTTAATAAGCTTTTTATCATCCTGGCGCCGAGTTATTTTTCCGCATGACCTCCCCTACAGTATCATCACCGCAGTAGAGTTTAACCACCAAGTTCGGGATGGATTGATGTGGTTCCTCTACGCATAGGACCCCAGAATATCGAACCATGAACAAATAAAGGCATGAGATAAAAAAAGCATATTGGCTATTCATATTGAGGCCCTAATTCTTGACTGGAGGGAACACCAAAGACCTTTGCCCTTCCATCCCTTGGATAGATGGAGAGGGGGGTAGAGCTTTTGGTTTTTTCATGTTGTCAAAGAGTTGAACAAAGAGTTGAACAATGAAAATAGATGGCGAGTGCCTGACCCGAATCGATCGGGTCATGTAGGAAAA